TGCTGCTAAATTCGACCTAAAGTCCTAGTGTAGACCAGGGCTAATACACAGCTTGATGAATGTTTCAGTTTTAGTCTCCTTGCTGAAGCTTTTGGAAGCCATCTCTTGTAGTAGTCTCTGCTCTTGGTCTGTCACTTTTATGCTTCTCTGGATAAGAACGGTTTACAACCAACCCAATAGGTTTCCTCCTCATATAAACAATCAAGAAGCTCTCCCCCACCCCCCAAGAGATCCCCTTATGCCTCTCATTCTTGCCTGACTTTTCTGATGGGCAAGGCTTTTGTAGAGATGAGGTGCAAGCCCACCCTGGCACTTGCAAGACCCACATGCCACATCAAAGTGAAAAGCAGTGCAGTTAAGCCGATCAGTTTTTAAACCTTTTCCCGCTTTGCCTATCAAGGTTTAGGGCAGCTCTGGTGCTCATTCTCTCCTTGGAAATATAACCTTGAATATTTTTTTAAAAATCCCTTAGGACAGATCCAAAGTGGTAAACAGAAACTATTTAAGTATCAGAGGGGTGTCCGTGTTAGTGTGTATCTACAAAAACAATGAGGAGTCCGGTGGCCCCTTAAAGACTAATCGATTTATTTAGGCATAAGCTTTCGTGGGTGTTAGGATAAAGATATTCAGGCCTGTCTGCAAAAGCCTGTACTTTAAGAATTTAGGGGTATTCTTATCACTTGGCTAGTTCTAGAGGTATAAAAGAAAGAATCAAAATCACTGTCTGCTGGTGTAAGGGCCTTCTCTTACTGTGACAGTCTGAGGCCCTGTTCTTAGGCTAAGGCCTCTGGCTAAGTAGCAGAGGCAGCCATAAGCTAGGAAGCGACTGGTCACCTCCTCACATTCCAAACTAGTCACATTGAAATAAGGTGTTATTGGGCTGTTAGAAGAAAAGAAGTACTTGTGGCACCTTAGAGACTAACCAATTTATTTGAGCATGAGCTTTCGTGAGCTACAGCTCACTTCATCGGATGCATACCGTGGAAACTGCAGCAGACTTTATATACACACAGAGAATATGAAACAATACCTCCTCCCACCCCACTGTCCTGCTGGTAATAGCTTATCTAAAGTGATCACTCTCCTTACAATGTGTATGACAATCAAGTTGGGCCATTTCCAGCACAAATCCAGGTTTTCTCACCCCTCCAAGTTTAACCAGAATGTCTGAGGCGGGGGAGGGGAGGGGGAAGGAAAAAACAAGGGGAAATAGGAATTAGGGAAATTATGCAAGGTAGCCTATTTCCCCTTGTTTTTTCCTACGCCCCCCCCCCCCCCAGACGTTCTGGTTAAACTTGGATTTATGCTGGAAATGGCCCAACTTGATTATCATACACATTGTAAGGAGAGGTTTCAGAGTAACAGCCGCGTTAGTCTGTATTCGCAAAAAGAAAAGGAGTACTTGTGGCACCTTAGAGACTAACCAATTTATTTGAGCATGAGCTTTTGTGAGCTACAGCTCACTTCATCGGATGCATACTGTGGAAACTGCAGCAGACTTTATATATACACAGAGAATATGAAACAATACCTCCTCCCACCCCACTGTCCTGCTGGTAATAGCTTATCTAAAGTGATCATCAAGTTGGGCCATTTCCAGCACAAATCCAGGTTTTCTCACCCTCCACCCCCCCACACACAAACTCACTCTCCTGCTGGTGATAGCCCATCCAAAGTGACAACTCTCTACACAATGTGCATGATAATCAAGTTGGGCTATTTCCTGCACAAATCCAGGTTTTCTCACATCCCCCCCACCCCCATACACACACAAACTCACTCTCCTGCTGGTAATAGCTCATCCAAACTGACCACTCTCCAAGTTTAAATCCAAGTTGAACCAGAACATCTGGGGGGGGGAGGGGTAGGAAAAAACAAGAGGAAACAGGCTACCTTGCATAATGACTTAGCCACTCCCAGTCTCTATTTAAGCCTAAATTAATAGTATCCAATTTGCAAATGAATTCCAATTCAGCAGTTTCTCGCTGGAGTCTGGATTTGAAGTTTTTTTGTTTTAAGATAGAGACCTTCATGTCTGTGATTGCGTGACCAGAGAGATTGAAGTGTTCTCCGACTGGTTTATGAATGTTATAATTCTTGACATCTGATTTGTGTCCATTTATTCTTTTACGTAGAGACTGTCCAGTTTGACCAATGTACATGGCAGAGGGGCATTGCTGGCACATGATGGCAAACCTACTGACCGCTATTCCTACCTGCATGCCTCCAGCTTTCACCCTGACCACACCACACGATCCATCGTCGACAGCCAAGCTCTGCGATACAACCGCATTTGCTCCAACCCCTCAGACAGAGACAAACACCTACAAGATCTCTGTCAAGCTTTCTTACAACTACAATACCCACCTGCAGAAGTAAAGAAACAGATTGATAGAGCCAGAAGAGTTCCCAGAAGTTACCTACTACAGGACAGGCCTAACAAAGAAAATAACAGAACGCCACTAGCCGTCACCTTCAGCCCCCAACTAAAACCCCTCCAACGCATTATTAAGGATCTACAACCTATCCTAAAGGATGACCCAGCACTTTCACAAATCTTGGGAGACATGCCAGTCCTTGCCTACAGACAGCCCCCCAACCTGAAGCAAATACTCACCAACAACCACATACCACACAACAGAACCACTAACCCAGGAACTTATCCTTGCAACAAAGCCCGTTGCCAATTGTGCCCACATATCTATTCAGGGGACACCATCACAGGGCCTAATAACATCAGCCACACTATCAGAGGCTCGTTCACCTGCACATCCACCAATGTGATATATGTCATCATTTGCCAGCAATGCCCCTCTGCCATGTACATTGGCCAAACTGGACAGTCTCTACGTAAAAGAATAAATGGACACAAATCAGATGTCAAGAATTATAACATTCATAAACCAGTCGGAGAACACTTCAATCTCTCTGGTCATGCAATCACAGACATGAAGGTCGCTATCTTAAAACAAAAAAACTTCAAATCCAGACTCCAGCGAGAAACTGCTGAATTGGAATTCATTTGCAAATTGGATACTATTAATTTAGGCTTAAATAGAGACTGGGAGTGGCTAAGTCATTATGCAAGGTAGCCTGTTTCCTCTTGTTTTTTCCTACCCCTCCCCCCCCAGATGTTCTGGTTTAACTTGGATTTAAACTTGGAGAGTGGTCAGTTTGGATGAGCTATTACCAGCAGGAGAGTGAGTTTGTGTGTGTATGGGGGTGGGGGGGATGTGAGAAAACCTGGATTTGTGCAGGAAATAGCCCAACTTGATTATCATGCACATTGTGTAGAGAGTTGTCACTTTGGATGGGCTATCACCAGCAGGAGAGTGAGTTTGTGTGTGGGGGGGTGGAGGGTGAGAAAACCTGGATTTGTGCTGGAAATGGCCCAACTTGATGATCACTTTAGATAAGCTATTACCAGCAGGACAGTGGGGTGGGAGGAGGTATTGTTTCATATTCTCTGTGTGTATATAAAGTCTGCTGCAGTTTCCACAGTATGCATCCGATGAAGTGAGCTGTAGCTCACGAAAGCTCATGCTCAAATAAATTGGTTAGTCTCTAAGGTGCCACAAGTACTCCTTTTCTTATTGTAAGGAGAGTGATCACTTTAGATAAGCTATTACCAGCAGGACAGTGGGGTGGGAGGGGGTATTGTTTCATGGTCTCTGTGTATATAATGTCTTCTGCAGTTTCCACAGTATGCATCCGATGAAGTGAGCTGTAGCTCACGAAAGCATATGCTCAAATAAATGGGTTAGTCTCTAAGGTGCCACAAGTACTCCTTTTCTTTTTGCGAATACAGACTAACACGGCTGTTACTCTGAAACCTGTCATTGGGCTGTTATGCACTATCTGGACAGGATTGTATTCCTATCACCTCCAGAGAAAGGGAAGTGCCTAGAAAATGTAAAAGGAAACTTAGTTTGATAGCATCCTGTCTGGCAAGAACTCACTTATCAATAGCTGGGATGTGAAATCCTCACTTCTGTATTGTTTTGTCATTATAGTTCCCACTTTGCTATTGTTTGTCTGTATAATCTCTCTAGTTCTGTGATTGTTCCTGTCTGCTGTATAATTAATTTTGCTGGGTGTAAACTAATTAAGGTGGTGGGATATAATTGGTTACATAATCATGTTACAATATGTTAGGATTGGTTAGTTAAATTTCAGGAAAATGATTGGTTAAGGTATAGCTAAGCAGAACTCAAGTTTTACTATATAATCTGTAGTCAATGAGGAAGTGAGTGGGTGTGGGTGGGAGGGGTGGGTGTGGGAGATGGGAATGGGGGTGCGGAAATTGGAATCATGTTTTGCTAAAGGGGGAAATGGGAACAGGGAATGGGAGTAAGGAAGTTGGAATCATGTTTGGCTAAGGGTAGGAATGGGAACAGGGACACAGGTGTAAGGCTCTGTGGTGTCAGAGCTGGGAAGGAGGATACTTAAGGAAGGAAACTGGAATCATGCTTGCTAGAAGTTCACCCCAATAAACATCGAATTGTTTGCACCTTTGGACTTCGGGTATTGTTGCTCTCTGTTCATACGAGAAGGACCAGGGAAGTAAGTGGGTGAAGGAATAAGTAACAGTGGGTAAAAAACCCACTTCTTCAGATGCATGGAGTGAAAATTTACAGACACAGGTATAAATATATATTGGCACATGAAGAGAAGGGAGTTACCTTACAAGTGAAGAACCAATGTTGAAGGCCAATTCAGTCAGGGTGGATGTGGTCCACTCCCAATAATTGATGAGGAGGTGTCAATACCCAGAGAGCGAAAATTGCTTTTGTAGTGAGCCAGCCACTCCCAGTCCCTGTTGAAGCCCAAATTGATGGTGTTACGTTTGCAAATGAATTGTAGCTCAGCAGTTTCTCTTTGAAGTCTGCTTCAGGAATACTCAAGAACAGATTTAAAAGCAGCCATTCTTCAAAAAAAAAAAATTTCAAAAACAGCGTTATTATTTACCCTTGTTTCTTTATCGCAGCAGGCACCTGAATGTTTTGGCTCATTACCTTTCTGTGGCAAAATCTGTGTGTTCCATTGTAAAGGAAAATGGGCTCGTGTGGAGGTAAGAAACAGGTGGTTGGTTGGATGTTTTTTTTCACCACTGAACTAACTTCCCTGTGTCAACTGAAAATTGCTGCTCTTCTTCGATTTCCCACATAGCATCTGCTATTTTTGCAGGTCTGGGGGTTGGCTAAAATCTGGATCATTGAATTCTTTGACACTGATTTTGGCATGTGTATCATTTTACATTGGCTACTTACTCAAATAGTAAACACACATAAGTAATCTTTTACCTGAGCTGATGGAATGAGGAATAGATCCCTGTAGATCTATCTTACAGTTTTTGTGTTGTCATTTAACATATTTCATTTCAACAAGCCATAGCATCATAACATGGAAAATAAAATGCACTGGCAACATATTTTCTTCCGTTTCCTTAAACTATGTATTTGCTTTTTAAAGGTACTCTGTTGCTCTCTTGCTAGTATCAAGTTATCCTTACCACTCGCATTCTCATTTCAGATAACAAGCGTTCACAGTAGTCGTGCACTAGATGTGCAGTTCATGGATACCGGAACAGTTGCCTCTGTAAAAGTATCGGAGCTTCGAGATATTCCATCACAGTTCCTGAGAGAAATAATCACCCTACCACCCCAGGTACAAACATCATTTTTAAGTAAAGCTGATGGCCTCTATACCTCTCTTGGCCATGTCTTAGTCTTGATAATTTTAGATGTGTGCTCTGCAGTGATTTGTGGTTTTAAAACATTTTAAGATTGCCTGTTCTGCACTATGGTTCCTTTTAGTTTGTGCCAGCAATGTCCACAGGAGGCAGTTAGCAATTCACACCCCTGTAGTCCAAAGTTCATGTTAACATAGTCCTCTTTCAAACTGGGCTACATTAACGTGAACTTATGTACCTTTTCATTTGCTCCAGCAGCATCCACTCAGGGCAGTTAACACACAACACTTTGGTGCCCTCTGCAGGTCTACACACTCTCTCGCTCCCCCCCTCGCCCCCCACCTACCTACCTTGTGGACCACACTTGAGCACAGTATAGATGTAGCCTTAGAAGTAATGTTAGGATGTGCATTCTAACTCTTTATAGTGTACAGTTTTAAATAAATACAGATTACATTCTTGTGTGCTCACAGTAGAAGGCTGTGGTGGTTGTCTTACTGTATGGGTAAAGGGACTCCATTCTGCAGACCACCGCATTCTTAGTGGTTGAAGTAACTTACAGCATAATAGGCTCCTTCTTTCACTCTTTTAATATCATACATCTTTTAATCCATCTGAGTTAAAGCTTGTAATAAACTACCTAGTTTCTGTGCAGGTAAACTTCAATAGCATAACATAATCTGTTGAAGAGTGCCATGTAATTAAATTGTACCATTAACATACTTCATGTCTTTTAGGCTATGAAGTGCTGTTTAGCAGATCTTCCCCGTAACATTGGCATGTGGACTCCAGATGCTGTATTGTGGCTGAGAGATACAGTATTAAATTGTCCTGATTGCAGCATTAAGGTAAATGTAAATATCTCAAACATTTGAAATTCAATAAAATATGGAAGACCAGGTTGCAATGTGAATGAAGAGTTATAATAAAATGTCATCATGAAGTTACAGGAACTTGGTACCTTCACCCTCCACCAGACAGTCAGGTTTTGATGCAAAAAACAAAATTCTTTCAGACTTAAAAACGTTTACCTACATTAGTTTTGTTTGAAAAGCTATTATACTAGACAATTTACAGCTTTGTAGCCTCCCCTAACGCTTGTATTCTGTATGAATTCATCATTTTTGACACATTTGATACAAAGCATATTTGTTTGCATTTCCCAGCAAACCCTTTTTATACAATTCTTGGATCTGCATTTAAAGAAGACAGAGAATTTTCCCCCTTCCAAATTCTCCTGTGCTAGCTCGGTATAATTCCTTCTTACCAGCAAATGAGGGCAAGAAAAAAGCAAAACTCTTGTTTTTGTGCCGCCTCATAAAAAATGAAGTGGGTGGATGACCCTGCTCAGTTATTTTCATGTCTCCAGCAGGTGGAGGTAACTCTTTCTGTTCTTATTTGCTTTTATTTCTATATGACAAGTCACTACCCGCAAGCCAGGCTGTGGCTCTGCTGTGCGCCAGCTTGCTGCTCAGAAACGTCCGATGTGGATGCCGCTACAGCGCCGTGAAAGTCCCACTAAGCCACGCTCTGGGATTTTCACTGCGCTGTAGCAGTGTCCACACCAGTTGTTACGGCACGGCAAACCAGTGTGCCGTAGATTCGCACCCTGGCTTGCAGTGTAGTAACTAGCCAAGGAAATAGACCCTAACACAATGTAGTTTAATTTAGTACAGTCCATTTGCAGACTCATTTTTTTGGATGTGCTGAGTAGATGTCAACCATTTATAGTGTGACCTACTTACCTAATTGTCTGGGAGCACCCTTCAAAGGGAAACAAGTGTTCAGAGTCTGCTATGATTAGTACATCTTGCCCCTAATTTCATTACAGGGTACCACTATGAGTGCGCCTTTTGAGAAGCACGCTTTGTAGCTTTCCCTTTTCTTCTCTGCTTTAGTCTTGAATACTGCACATTTAAAATACTGCTGGTCTAGTCTGGCATATGTAGATATTGTAAAATGATATTGTCAAATGTGTGGCTGCGTGTGTTCCCTCTGTGTGCCATCTCAGCTCTGTGCAGACAGCTGGCACAGCAGACGTCGATCAAACTGCCCAATGACCATGAGATTCATTAAGGTACGAAGGCACCCGGCCAGGTTTATTGTCAACAAAGAAAGGTAATAGCATCCAGCAGACTCTACGGGGATACTAAGACATGTATGCCTGTGACAATGGACGCAGCTCTGTGAATGGCGGAACTTTCTATTCCCCACCCCCCGCAGGCCGGCCAAAGACACTCCCTCTGAGACTCCATTTTATACACCAATACAAACAAGTATTTTGACCATAGTTAGTTACTTCCCCCTGACGTGGGTTGTTACCATCCATTACCTTGTACATGTTGGTTCGATCAAAACATCTCTATCCATTATTACTGTCATCTTGACCTTCTCTTTAGGAGGGGTCAGTGTGTTCTCGTTATCTTTGGGGTGTGTTTGTACCATACTTGGTATCAGGGTACTTGTACCATACTTCTGGAATGCATTTGTGTGAGTGTCCGCCTTCATGTAGTGACTAAGGTTGGAATTTTCAAAAGAGATTAGATACTTAACTCCCACAGAAAGTCAGTGGGATTTGTGTACCTAAGTCCCTTATACTCTTTAAAAATCTCAGTCTAAGCTTTTAGTATTTCTTGGCTCTGAACAAATTCGCATTCAGCATCACTCAATGGCAAAATATGCTCAACCTTAGGACAGTGCGTTTTATCTTTTCTTTCCATATCTTCCTTTCTGGTCTTCCCCCCCACCCCCTTTCTTCCGTCTGCATTTTCCTCCCTGCAACAACTCTTGATTCCTAGTCCCTTCCCCATTTCATCTGCTAAGGTGATCTGGCTATGAAATATTTAATGCTGACGCTTGAAACATCCCATTGAGAGTAATTGGGGCAGGGCTGTTCACATCTGTCAGTCCACGAGGATGTGGTTTTCCACGGTTTTGTCTCCTGATTTACACTAGCATATGAAAGAGAAGAATCAAAATCTGTTGCTTCAATCTCTGCAGATTCTTGAAGGTAACATTACTTTGGATTACTCAGCTTGCAAAGATACCCTTGCAATTGTTATCATGAAGGCTGGAATCTACTTGGCTTTGTAAATGAAATCTTAGCATCTAGAGAATCCAGATATGCCATGAGGGCTGAAGAAATGCATCAAGTAGGCTAGAAGATTAATACTGCAGCCATAATAGGTTGTTTTTTTCTTGTCTATCCCTAAACCCAACCCTCACCCTTAACCCTAAAACCCTAACCCCAACCCCTAAACCTAGCCCTAACCCCTAACCCCTACCCTCTGACCCCTAACCCTAAAACCTAACCCTTAACCCTACCCCTAAGGCCCCTACCCCAACCCCTAAAACCCTAACCCCTAAAACCCTAACCTTAACCTAATCCCAACCCTTAACCCTAACCCCTTAGCCCTAACCCCAACCCTAAAGCTAACCCCAAACCCCTTAACCCTAAACCCTCACCCTTAACCTATCCCCTACCCCTAAACCCCTAACCCCCACCCTAAACCCTACCCCTACACCCTTAACCCTAACCCTCTAACACCCTAACCCTAAACCCATTAAGAATAGTCAGTATGTATCTGCTCTTTTCGATGCTCTTTTGTTGGCCAAAGCTGTTGCCATTGTAAAACGCCTGGCTCATCAAACCCCTCATGATGAAGTTACTCGTGGAAATGCTTCACGTGGAAATGATTCAGCAGCCAAGGATGCGGCCCTTTCTGCCCCTCAGGCTGCTTTTATTTTTGCCTTAGTTGAGCAACCTCCACGGGCTTCCCTCGATGACCTTGGCAGGATCCAGGAGATGGCACCAGAGACCGAAAAATGTTCTTGGAGTGTTGCTGGGTGCACTTTACACCCTGAGTATTTTTGGCGCTTCCAGGACGGCCGGCTGGTTGCGCCGAGAGTGCTTCTGCCCTATCTTGCTTGCGTGCACCACGGGGTGGTGCATGTGAGCAAAGGGGGGGTGCTTGCTGCAGTGGGATGCGATTGGTGTCCCAGCACTACTGCCAACAATGTTCAATCTGCCAGCAACACAATGTTGGTAAAGCTGTTAAAACCAGACAAGCAGCCCATCCCGCTCCATGGGGACCGTTTGTAAATATTCAGATTGATTTTATTCAAATGTCTAAATGTTGTAATTATGAATATGTATGAGTACTAGTTGATGTTTTTTCAAGCTGGGTTGAGGCCCTCAACTGCTGATCAGCTTGTTTCTACTTCTGTTCCTTCTCCTGAACGGCAGGAGAAAAGGACAAAGTGAAGTGCTAGTAACCTCTCCCTTGTCCGCTGATGAAATCATTGTGTCATCAGCATTTGCTAAAGAAACCAGAGCTCTGCAGGGTGATGTAATCTCTCCCCTGTATGATACTGGACCACGACTGTTCCAGGAAAGAAGAAAAAGAAACTCTCGCTCCATCGAACCTGCCAAGGCCCAGGAGTTCCTGACTACAAAGGACATTAAGAACGGGCCCTGGTGGAAGAAACGGAGTATTGTAGGCTGGCCAGGAGGAAATCTTGTGACCAATCTTGGGAATGTGGTGTTCACTGGATTTTGGGGTTCATTCCATCGCCTGCACAGTGTGCTGTTGGACAGGTACCCTGGGAATGTACAGATCTCCCTAATTGGATTTCAGATGAGGAATATCAAAAACGCCCTATTGCTACAACCACTGCCCCTGCCATTACCGCCATTATCACTGCCTTTACCACCCCTGTAACATACCCAGATACAGACAATACTATCTAGTCTGATGAAACCCAATGGCCAAGGCCTTCACATGCTGGTGATTTATTTAAGTATTGTTTGGAAAATTTATTTTTTAAGGTTCAGGACATGTCATATGAGCAAACAGTTGGATGGAGAACAAATGGACCAGTAGAAATAGAAGTATATGACATTACCACAAATGATTCTAGGGAATTTGAATGGGAAGTAGATGGGTTTTATGAAGGTGTTGATATGATGGCCATTCCAGGGGTTTGTAGTGTATTGGGAGAAAGGGGCCCTTGTTGTTGTTTAGTTATCCATTTAGTAAATAACCAGACTCATACTCAGAGAATATGTTCTGCCACTAGAAATTTTATCTGTACTGAAATGATCCCAATAACTAACAATTTAACCTGTACCATCTTACAATATACCCCTTCTTAAGCTATTGATGTTAATGCCTCTCAAAAATATTTGAAAATAGTTAAACAACAGATGTGGTATAATGCTATCCCCGAAAAAGATGTACTAGGACATTGAATAACCATAATTAATGCCACATTAGGGGCTGTGACATTCACCCTGCCCCTATCCAGCTTTCAAATTACTTCCACGTATCCCAGTTGTTCCAAGGGAGCTGCTATCTGGCTAGAACAGCAAAGAGCATGGGTCTCCTCTCGAAAGAAGGGAGACTTAGCTGGTCACTTATGGGATGGTGCAAATAGTGCAGCAGCAATTTGGAATATTCTTAAGGGATAACTACATGATGAGAAATTAGGACAACTAGAGAAAGCCACTGGTCTTATTACTGGAGCACAACTGACTCAGGTGCAAGCTGGAGTTGGTGAATTACATGTTATTTCCACCCTTAGTTCGATGACCCTGGAGCTGTTGACAGGAATGGTGTTGAATATCACTGAGGCAGGAAAGGAATTGCAGTGGGATCTAGCATGTTCAGAGATTCAGGATTTCCTGAATGACCAGCTGATGGCCATTCGGAGTGATCTTGAGCATCAGGCTTGGCCCACTGCCCTTACTAATGCTTCAGGAGTACCATCTGATTTGTGACCATGGAGACGTACTTGGAGATTTTCAGGATGGAGTTGCAAGTACGCGCAGTGCTCCTTCCAAGCATATGGGCCGGTAGCAGGCATGTGGA